ACCCGCCCAGCCCCGAGCCTCCCGCCGCTCCGCAGCCAGCTCAGCGCTGCTCCGTGGTGCCAGGCAACCGGCACGTCTCTCGCTCCTTCTACCCCGCTGAGTGCTTCGCTCTCTTCCCTTCGCTCACCTTCTCCCTGCACGCGTGGGAGACCTTCTCCCCGGCTCCATTTCTTTTCCAGTCAGAAGCTAGTCATCAAAAGCAACGTCACATGTTGTTTCCAAGGGAAGCGATAAATTAAGGCAAATAAAAGATAAAAAATACAGCCAGGTTATTACAAGACATCAGAAAACTAAGGCCAAGGGTAATGCTCTCAGCTTTATGACTTTTGACCGACCCAGACCCAGAAATCCTACCATCAGCAACGCTGCGTGGACCCTTCTGCTCACCACGCTTCACTGCTCGCACTCTTCTACCTTGTTGAAGTAGTTTTTCAAGGCAGCTTTTCAAGGTCCCCTCTGGGGGTGCTGGACGGCACTGGGTGCCACACGCACCCTCAACGGGCAGCGAATTTACAGCCTGCTCGGCGCTGGCTGGGTGCTTGCTCCCGACGGTGTTTCTGGACGCTGCTCAGGGTATGCTTGCAACGTGTCTCAATAATTCAGTCAGCAGTTTAAATATGCAAAACATGCAGCACAATCTAGCAAGATGGGTTTTTTTTTTAAAAGAATTTGGAAGTTCTTCATCCTGGCTGCTGGAGCTTGGGAGGGCAGGGAGGGGGTTGCCTTTTCCTCTGCCCAGAAATGGCCGCGCTTCAGGGGTGATGACGTGATCCCTGTTGCGTTACGCCGCGCGCTGAAGCTTGCGGGCCCTCTTCCATCCGGCAGTTTGTTATGATAATGTTAATGCACAGGCTGTCATCGTCTGGCAGCGTAACCGCTTGCCTTATGAAATAACCCAGCGTGACAGCTCCGCTTGCTAGCGGGCAGGCCCACGTCTGCCTTCTAATCTGGCATCAGAAATCACTCCCTTTCCCTGAGCTACAGATGAATATTAAACGTTTCATTTGCATTACTCCAGATAGTCTGCTGGAGAGTGTGGGGAGAAGGGAATCCCAGCCGGGCTCCTTCAGGAGCCCACACCTAAAGCCAGCTCTGTCCCCTCCCGTTTGCCACCGGCGCCGCGGCCGTGCTGGAATTCACATCGCAGTTTCCTAACGTCAGCCTGAGCGGATCGGCTCGCTCGATGCCCCAGTGACAGATCGCCGGTGACTTTCTTCCCGTGTCAAGAGAAGCGAAAGTCACGAGGATAACGCAGAATCGCTCTGGGCCGGCGTATGTCCAGCTGAAAAGGTCTCGGTGACTTCCCAGGCATATGCTGGCTGGCACAGGCTCTTCGAACAGCCTGTACGACGCGGGCCGGAGGGATTAATCTAATGCTGCGTCGAGATGCTAATACAATAAGGGTTCTTTGTGGCATTAGCAGGCGTCATGAGACCAGCTCTGAGATGTCATTGCCTGGCGGCTGCAGGGAGCGCCGGCCTTCAGCTCTCCAGCAGAGAGAAGGAGCTTGTCTCCCGCTTCGGGCACGAACGCTGCCGAGGGGTGGTGGAAACGCAGTAAGGCCCCTCCGTTTCGGTGACAGCACGTCTGGGAAGAGCTGCTGCTTCTGTTGTGGAGTCCAAGGGGAGCCGAGGGAACAAGGGTTATTTGGAAAGGGACCGTCGCTTTTCCTTGTGTTTTCCAGGAGCTGCAAAGCTGCCGAGGCCAAGAGGATGCTTGGGACCGCGGCACCAGCGCTGCGTCACCAGGGTTACATCTTACCCCGGTGAAGTCACCCCCGCCCATGGGACTGGGGTTTTGCTATAAAAAGTGTTGCAAAACCTGCTGAGGCCAGCAAAACAGTTTGTGTCAGTTCCAGAAGACACGCTTGCATCTCCTTTGCCAGCTTCACGCCCACAAAGCCGTTGGGCCTGATCCTGACCGAATACCAGCGGGGAAAGCTCCATCTTGCTCAGCATGTTTGTGCTGGTGGAAAAGCAGCATCCAGCACCAGCAGAGAACATGGTGAGATGAGGGGCAGGGAGATGTGGCAAGCAGGGATCTGCTCTGAACCATCCCAACCTTGGTCAGTTGTGAAGTTTTGTGACAGACCCGAAGACCCCACACTGTGCCAGCAGCGACCCAAAGACCCCACACGGCACCATGAAGGACCCAAAGACCCCTCATGGCACCATGTAGGGACCCCCAAAGACCCCACATGGCACCATGAAGGACCTAAAGCCCCCCCACGGCACCATGAAGGACCCCGAAAGAGGCCACATGGCACCATGAAGGACCTAAAGCCCCCCCACGGCACCATGAAGGACCCCGAAAGAGGCCACATGGCACCATGAAGGACCTAAAGCCCCCCCACAGCGCCATGAGGGGACCCCCAAAGGGCCCACACGTAACCATGAAAGACCCCAAGCCCTCTCATGGCACCATGAAGGGACCCCCAAAGACCCCACATGGCACCACGAAGGATCCAAAGCCCCCCCCACGGCACCATGAAGGGACCCCAAAGACCTTATATGGTACCATGAAGGGACCCCCAAAGAGCCCACATGGCACCATGAAGGACCCCAAGCCCCCTCATGGCACCATGAAGGGACCCCCAAAGAGCCCACATGGCACCACGAAGGACCCCAAGCCCTCTCACAGCACCATGAAGGACCCCCCAAAGACCCCACATGGCACCACGAAGGACCCCAAGCCCTTTCACAGCACCATGAAGGACCCCCCAAAGACCCCACATGGCACCACGAAAGACCCAAAGCCCCCCCACAGCGCCATGAAGGACCTAAATATCCCGCACGGCGCCATGAGGGGACCCCCAAAGACCCCACATGACACCATGAAGGGACCCCCAAAGAGCACATATGGCACCATGAAGGACCCCCAAAGAGCCCACATGGCACCATGAAGGACCTAAATATCCCCCACGACGCCATGAGGGGACCCCCAAAGACCCCACATGACACCATGAAGGGACCCCCAAAGAGCACATATGGCACCATGAAGGACCCCCAAAGAGCCCACATGGCACCATGAAGGACCTAAATATCCCCCACGACGCCATGAGGGGACCCCCAAAGACCCCACATGACACCATGAAGGGACCCCCAAAGAGCACATATGGCACCATGAAGGACCCCCAAAGAGCCCACATGGCACCATGAAGGACCTAAATATCCCCCACGACGCCATGAGGGGACCCCCAAAGACCCCACATGACACCATGAAGGGACCCCCAAAGAGCACATATGGCACCATGAAGGACCCCCAAAGAGCCCACATGGCACCATGAAGGACCTAAATATCCCCCACGACGCCATGAGGGGACCCCCAAAGACCCCACATGACACCATGAAGGGACCCCCAAAGAGCACATATGGCACCATGAAGGACCCCCAAAGAGCCCACATGGCACCATGAAGGACCTAAATATCCCCCACGACGCCATGAGGGGACCCCCAAAGACCCCACATGACACCATGAAGGGACCCCCAAAGAGCACATATGGCACCATGAAGGACCCCCAAAGAGCCCACATGGCACCATGAAGGACCTAAATATCCCCCACGACGCCATGAGGGGACCCCCAAAGACCCCACATGACACCATGAAGGGACCCCCAAAGAGCACATATGGCACCATGAAGGACCCCCAAAGAGCCCACATGGCACCATGAAGGACCTAAATATCCCCCACGACGCCATGAGGGGACCCCCAAAGACCCCACATGACACCATGAAGGGACCCCCAAAGAGCACATATGGCACCATGAAGGACCCCCAAAGAGCCCACATGGCACCATGAAGGACCTAAATATCCCCCACGACGCCATGAGGGGACCCCCAAAGACCCCACATGACACCATGAAGGGACCCCCAAAGAGCACATATGGCACCATGAAGGACCCCCAAAGAGCCCACATGGCACCATGAAGGACCTAAATATCCCCCACGACGCCATGAGGGGACCCCCAAAGACCCCACATGACACCATGAAGGGACCCCCAAAGAGCACATATGGCACCATGAAGGACCCCCAAAGAGCCCACATGGCACCATGAAGGACCTAAATATCCCCCACGACGCCATGAGGGGACCCCCAAAGACCCCACATGACACCATGAAGGGACCCCCAAAGAGCACATATGGCACCATGAAGGACCCCCAAAGAGCCCACATGGCACCATGAAGGACCTAAATATCCCCCACGACGCCATGAGGGGACCCCCAAAGACCCCACATGACACCATGAAGGGACCCCCAAAGAGCACATATGGCACCATGAAGGACCCCCAAAGAGCCCACATGGCACCATGAAGGACCTAAATATCCCCCACGACGCCATGAGGGGACCCCCAAAGACCCCACATGACACCATGAAGGGACCCCCAAAGAGCACATATGGCACCATGAAGGACCCCCAAAGAGCCCACATGGCACCATGAAGGACCTAAATATCCCCCACGACGCCATGAGGGGACCCCCAAAGACCCCACATGACACCATGAAGGGACCCCCAAAGAGCACATATGGCACCATGAAGGACCCCCAAAGAGCCCACATGGCACCATGAAGGACCTAAACTTCAGGGCAGAGCTGGGCGCTTCTGCTGGCAGCACAGGAGAATTTGGACTCCTCACTTTGCTCTCCCATAGGTATCGTCTCACCTGCTCTGACCACCCGTGCCCAGGTCAGGGGGTGTGGGTGCGGTGGAAAGGGGAAGGCTGTGGCATGAACACATCTGGAGGTTGGGCAGCGTCTCGGCTGGCGAAGCTGGACTTTGCTTTGTGGTGCGGCTCCGCAGGGCGGAGGCAGCGGGCACAGGGCACTGACGTGCTGCCTGGCAGGCTCTGCCCTGCCTGCCCGAGCCTGTGGTCTGCGAGCCGCTCTGGTGCCGCGGCCGCAGGGACTGGAAACAGCAGTCTGCTCCCGGATCTCCAGCCTTGCTGTCTCCAGCCTTGGTTGCCTTGGCTCGCTCGGGAGCGGTTTTCCGATGCAACAACCAGCTTTGCAGCTAGGGGAATTTATGATGTCAGTTGCAGAGGCACTCTGGGGTTGGGTTTTTATTTTCCTCCACTTGTAAAACTTTGTAAATCCCCTGTAAACTTAAAGGAACTCTTTGGGAACAAGAATTCCTCACACTGTACAACTTCCTCACCGTGAAACTCCAAGCTGTATTTTGGCCAGACTCGCCCTTTTCCTGTAACTGAAGTCCCATCATTTCCATGTACGAGCACTGGCTGATGGTCCTGATGGTGTATGCCAGCCCTGGGGAGGTCTGTGGCTGAGGTGATCCAACGAGCTCCTTATTTCTACAACATCCCAGTCTGCTTATTTCTGCTTGGGGAAGGGGGCTGGAGCAGGACATGTGCTTGTGGACAGACAGCGATAAAACAGCGTTGCTGCCTGGCGCAGAACACCCCGTCCTCGCTGTGCTCCTGGCTCCAGTGCCAAGCTGGTGTGACTTGGAAGAGGTTGCGCTCTGTGTCTGGTAGAGATAGAGCTGTTTATCTAGCGGTGAAACCTCTTGCAAGAGCTTCCAAGCTGGTAAGCACACTTCATTAATCCTTGAAAATCGGAGGAGGCTAAAAAGGCCTCTGTCACAGGCTGTGGAGCAGAGCGTGTGAAGCTGGGGGCTGCTGGCTTTCAGACTCAGGCTGTTATGGATGCACTGAAAAGGCACATTCCCTCTCATTTCCCTGCTCTCTCCTTGCAGCTGGCAATAAGTGCATCAGATTTACAGCTCTCCGCAGCTGTGACTGCATCAAGGCAGGATCATTCATACCAGCAGAGAAGCTGGGAGTAGGACCCATCAGCTTAACCCTGTGGATGATGTGGCCAGCTCAGCAGGGCTGCCGGTCACCTGGTTCTTCTTCGCTTGCTCTGAGCTCTGCCCCTTTGCCTCTTTCAGTTGCTCAGGCCACATCTTGTGCAAGGAGACGCTAGCTTGCCGGTCACCTGGTTCTTCTTTGCTTGCTCTGAGCTCTGCCCCTTTGCCTCTTTCAGTTGCTCAGGCCACATCTTGTGCAAGGAGACGCTAGCTCCTTGCTGGCAGGAGGAAGTTGGATGGCTGCTCTTGAGTAATGTGTAACCAGTCTCTCCCGGCAGCTGTGGTGCGGTGTGACTTGCAGAGCAGTGACCTCTTTTTTGGTTGGCAGTCAGAAGGGAGGAGAAGTGGGATTTAGGTCAGTCTGGTGGCATGGCATCCACCATGACCTCACCGTTTGGTGTCACCCTGCCTTTCTGCTCCTGGACTGCACTCCCGTCACCTCGGTGCGGGCCCGTGGTGCTCGGGAGCTCTGCAGCCCTTGCACCTCCCCGTGCCCTTTCCCTGGGTGCGGCTCTAACCTTTGCAGCAATGTTGAATGACAGGGACTGATAGCAGTGGTGTCACTTGGCTGTGTCACCTGCGGACACTGGCCTGGCGTGAACCCCGGTGTCAAAGATGACATCTGGCTGGTCCGCATGGCGCGGCACCCCACGGAGATACGAACTGAGCAAGCTGGGAAGGGTCACGCTGACAGAGCCCTGCAGTTGAAGAGCTGGTGGCAGGGCCAGGGATACTTTTGGAGAGCAGATGCTGGGAGCTGCTGCCAAGCCAGGATGAGACGCTGGCAGGGCGCTCCCCTCCTGCCCTGGATGGCAGGGATGCTTCCCAGGCTGAGGGTGCTGCGCAGCTCTCCAGCTGGACCCTGTGGTGGGGGAGAAGCTGACACTGTCCTTTGTGCTCCTCCTGCAGGGAGGAAATCTCTGTCCTCTGCCAGGGAGAAGGTGGGCCCTGAGGCAGGGCGTCCAGATGCTTGCTGGAGGACAGGTCAGCTCCCAAATCCGCTGTAGGGGAGAGCGGAGCAGAGCTGGTGGCTGCTTCTGGGAGCTCTGTTCATGTGCAAGCTCTTCTGCCTCCTGTCCTGGCAAATGGCTGCTCCCCTGCCCAAAATAGCCCCTGTGCTCTGCCAGCTTCTGGCTGCGTCCTTTGGCCGAGTTGGAGGGTCCCCAGCTCCCATCTGTCTGGGGTGGCATGGGTGGGCCCTGCTCCCAGGGGCTGGCAGGGTCTCAGCCAGCGAGCCTGGGCTGGGTGCGCTCAGCGAGGGCATGACAGCCTGCTCTGTCGGTGGCAGGGCTGAGTGGGGCTGCTGGTGTCTCCTGCTAGCTGGGCCCCGGCCCTCGGGCGCGGAGGGAGAAAGCTGGGAGCTTTGTGGCCAGACCTGCAGGTCCACTGGTGAACTGACAGGCGAAAGCTGTTTGCGTGGAGGTGGGTTTGCTGGGGGCACCTGGCCTCTGCCAAGCTGAGTTTGCTGCTCGCATCTTTCATTGTACAGGGAAGTGTTTCTCACCTGCATTCTCATTCTTTCTTGGCCTCCCGTGGGGTGATGGCACCCCGTGTTTGTATCGTTAAGCAGCATCTTCCAGCACTGCAAGGAGCAGAATGGACAGAGCCTTCCTTGGGTGGCGGGTGTGCAGGCCCATACCCGTGTGCTGGGCAGTGGCAGCTCTTAGAGGAGCCGCCTGAGCAGCCTGTGGGGCTCTGCTGATCGCAGGAGGAAAACATTGGTGGCATCAGAGCAGACTGAGGCCACAGCACAGGGGGAAACAAACAGCACTGGGTGGATGGGACGATGGGACTGGGAGCAGGAGGAGTGGTCCTTGATCCAGCGATGAAACCAGCAGCTCTTCATCCTGGACTTGGGAGGGATTCCAGTTTGCCCTCTGTTTGTGGGGCTCTTGTAGCTGTGCTAGGCTGGATTTGCCTCTTCCAAAGAGCTCGTGGTGAGCCTGGTTGTGAGCTGATGGTGTCAGCTTGCAGGAAGCATGGACCATTGAGTTGGGCTGTACGGGCTTCAGAGTTAGTCGGCTTCCCCCAGGCTTCCAGTAAAATTCCCACACTGGGAGTGGACAGGGCTTAGTGTGCAACGGAAGCACCTTGAGCATGTGGGGCCATGCAGGACAGACACCTGGGTGGACCATGGGGCAAATGAGACTGCAGGCTCTCTGTCCAGACAGAACTGCTCTTGTCTCCTTCCACCCGCCCTGGGTATAGCAGACCCTGTCACCTCCCCGCTGTGCTGCTGTCTGACTGCTCTTCTCTCCTGTAGAATCATCAAAAATGTGGTCAAGACCTTCAAGTATTTCTTTGGCCTGAGGTTTGAGGTGAAGGGACTGGAGAACTTCAATATGGAGGGCCCTGCTATCATTGTGTCCAACCACCAGAGCATGCTCGACATGATGGGTGAGAAGCTGGTGGGAGGGAGGGAGCAGTTCTCTTGCTCACTGTCAGAGAAATCCCGCTTCTGTCTCCCAGCCAAGCCGCCCCCTGCCCCGGCCGGTCTGTGCTACCGAGCCAACTGATCCAGCTCTCTGTCAGTGCTGGCTGCAGGGGGGCCTACCCTTGCTCTGAGGACCCCAGGTGCTTCTCAGTGCCCTTCTACATCCCTGCCCCGCTGCCGGCCTGGCACGCATGTTGGTGTCAGGCATGAGGGGTGGCCCAGCTGGGTATCCTGGGGCCAAGGAGTGAGCTGTCGCTTGAGGGGTCTTGCTGTGACCTGCAGCCACCCTGCCCCTGCCATCCTGCCATGTGCTGAGTCTCCTGCTCTGCTGATGGCAGCAGAAGCCGGCAGAGAAACAAAGCACTGGCTTGTCCCTGGTGCTCCCCTCCACACCTCGGATTGTCTCGCTTGTCCCATCTGAGTGCAGGCAGGGAGGGTGGCTGCTGGGTCTCACCTTCTGCCATCACGTTAGGGCTGATGGAGATCCTGCCCGATGACTGTGTCCAGGTGGCCAAGAAGGAGCTGATGTACGCTGGCACTGTGGGGCTCCTCATCTACCTCGGCGGTGTCATCTTCATCAACAGGAAGAGCACCAGCAGCGCCAAGATGGTGATGGCGGAGGTGGCCAAGACTATGGCAGCTGACAACGTGAGTGTGACCGTGGCACTTGGCGGCGTGGTGTGCATCTGGGTGTCCTGGGGTGGCATGGGCGATGTGGAGCTTCTGGCACTGGCTCACCTGGAGTTGCAGCCACCTGCAGCTCTTGGCAAGGCTGGCTACGGGCTTGGCCAGCAGGAAGGGAGCACTGCAAGTGGATGGCTGGTGCAGGGCCTTATCTCCCCACGTGCAGGTGAAGGTGTGGGTGTATCCAGAGGGCACGAGGAACTGCACTGGGGATTTCCTGCCATTCAAGAAAGGAGCGTTTCACCTTGCTATCCAGGCACAGGTAACGGCGCTTCGCTCCTGGGTGGGGACCCTGAATGCTTCTGCAGTGGCATTGCAGGCTGGTCACGCAGTGGTGTGGTTTATTCGCTCTCGAGTGAGCTGTGTTCTCAGCTCACAGCTGAGCTCCTCGGCTAAACCACCATTAGGTGTCACAAGTGCTGCTCAGCAGGAGCAGAGAGCCTTTTCCATCCCTGGCAGGAGGGACTTGACCCCTGCGGATGGGTGGCTGCAGGCCGTGGAGAAGCTGCCTTGTCCTCTCTCAGGACTGCCCCAGTGCTGTGGTCCCGGTGTCCCATCAAGGGCAGAGCAGGGGGACGGGCATGCTTGACCCCCGAGCAGTGCAGCATCTGTGCCTTGTTCCCAGAGCACAGCTGCAGCACCGAGCTTGCTTCTGGTGGGGGGCCCAGCGGGTGCTGCACCCCATGAGCTCGCCTGGGGGATCCCAGAGCTGTTGGCGCATTTCTCCATCCCCCAGGCTGAGCAGCGTAGTGTTGGTTGTCAGTGCTCACGCTTTAGAGCAGCATCTGGGCTTCCTATGTGTGGAAATAGCTGCTCCCTCCCCGACAGCCATGTGGGACTTCTTGGTAGGTTTTAAACATCCCCTCTCTCCAAAAGGAGAAGATCTGTGAGCAGTTAGTGGGGGAGCAGACAAACAGCTCCTTGGCGTCGGACAGCCAGAGCTCCTGAAGGAGCAGCGGTGCTTGCCCCCGGTGAGCTGGGGACACTGCAAACCTGGCTGTGCTGCTGGGACCCGGGCGGTTGCTGGAAGCTGGGCCACCCTGCTCGGCTCCCAGGTGCTGGGGACTGGGTGCTGGACAGGCAGTGGGGAGGAGATGGTTGCTTCGCCTTCCTGTGCATGCTCTGCCTCGCTTCTCAGACTGGGATCACTGAGGGGAAACTGCTTTCACTAGAAGAGGTGTTGGAGCAGGGATCCTGGGGAAGGGAGGAGGTGCCAGGTCTCTTGCTGGGTTCAGCTGGCCAAGCCCAGGGTGTAGCCTGTGTTGTGCCGTCCCCATTCCTGCCGGGGTGATGCAACCAGGACAGGGCTGGCGGCTGCTAGAAGGACAGGACGTCAGTGGAAATGGTGCCCACACCGCTGCCGCTCCCCCTGAGTCACCAGCTGTGATTGTCTGTGGGATCAGTGCTGAAATAAGGACTCTGCCTGCCCTCCTGGCTGTGTCGCTGCCTGCCTGCAGCTTCCCTGGGAGCAGTTTGCAACCGGTGACTCCTTTTGTTAGAAGCTGCAGGCACACCAGCTGGCCTGCCTCTAACGTGTCCTGTACGGCACGACAAGGCCTGTCAAAGCAGGCATCCTCCAGTGTCTGCAGGTCAGAAAATACCAGAGTTTTGAAGTCTGGCTTGGAATGAGGAGTCCCGAGAGCCAGTGCTCGCCTGAGGCTGAAGTGTAACTTGGCCCTGAGTGCCTTGAATGTCTCTGAGCCTGCGGTTGCTGGGGAGTGGTTTCCATCCCACTTGAATCCTGACTGTTCCAGCCTTTGGAAGTGGGTCTTGTTTGTGGGGGTGTGTGTGCCCTGCACAGCTGAGAGCCAGGTCAGCTCTGGTGCATGGGATTCGCTGCTTATCCCTGGCCTGCCCTGAGTTGCTGCAGTGCAAGTAACTCCTCTCTTTCCTCTTCTTCCCCAAGGTCCCAGTGATCCCTGTGGTGTATTCCTCCTTCACCAGCTTCTATAACCCAAAGAAGAATCTATTCACATCAGGTACCAAAGAGCCCGAGGGTCTTTACGGTCACTCGGAGGCAGGGTTGATGCCATACCCACGTGGAGAGCTGGTTCACAGGGTGTGGGAGGGAAGCGGGGCTGGGGTGAACGGGGGTCATCGCTCTGGGAGATGTGTGGGGTCAATTCAAAGCACTTGGCACCAGAGCCGGGGCTGGCTTGACTCGGGAGAGAATGTCCTTGAACAGGGTGAGGGGTGTTTTCAGTGAAAATTGGACACTGCCTTTCCTTCTCATAACTGGCACAGCCCAAGTCATTTGGTGAGGGCTTGGGGGAAGCAAAGCGTTGCTCTACCTCCTGACCTTTCAAAGCGGGGACCTCTCTGCAGGCACGCGCAGGAAGCTGGGCATACCAAAGCTCTGAAGTCTGTCAGTACAAGCGTTGGGCAGAAAGTTGGCTTGCAGTCAACTTGGAGCAGCACCTCTCATTTCTGGGAGGAAGCCACGCTTGCCATGCTCCCTGCCCGCAGCCAGCCAAAGGTGGGAGGGTGGAGAGCAGCAGATGGAGGGGGCATCTGGTGCAGGCTGTGCTTGGCACGGCCCTGGAGCTGAGTGGGTCCGTGGCTGTGGGCTCCCCTGCTCTCTTGGCTGGCAGGTGAGGGCAGAGCAGCGACACCAGCCTTGGAAAGGGGCAAGCTCTGCCTGGGGTGTCACTTTGGGGCACAAGTGAAATATTCTGCTTGACGCAGCTGTTAGAGGGCAGGGTCTAAGCCCCAGAGCAATCTCTTGCCCCAGAGGCAAGTGCAGCCTGCGCTCTGGGGATGGGTGCCTCAAGCTCTGTGAGGGGATGAGGGCTGTGCTGGGGCGGTCCAGGGTGAGGGGAGCAGGGGACCTGGGAGGGCAGAGAATGGTGCTCCTGTGGCACGTGGGTTTCTTACAGGCTCTTCTCTTGTTCCCAGGCAAAGTCAAGGTTGAGATTCTGCCTCCAATAGAGACCAAAGGCCTGACATCAGATGATGTCTCTGAGCTCACCAACAGATGCTTTCACACCATGAGGGAGACCCTCTTCAGGTTGTCAGGCCGTCCAGGAGGGGCAAAGGGCTCGTCCTAGATGCTTCTGCAGTGGCGTCACTGTCTGGCGGTGGCTGAAGGGACCTGTCTGTTGCCAAATGCCGAAGGAACTTCTCTTCCTCTGCAGTGACTTCTAACTCTGGGAACACCATGGACTGGCACACGCGGGGTGTCGAGCCAGCGCTGAGGTTCCTCATTGAGTGGATTTATCTTATGGGTTCGTTATCTCGCAATGAAACATCTGCTCCTTTTTCTGAATTTCTCAGGCATCAAACTTGTGCTGCCAAAGGGCTCGGTGACTGGAGAGGTGAGTTCCCCCCGCTCGGGCAGCTGGTGCGGGGTGGCAGCGAGAACCTGGCTGGAGGTTGGGCTCTGCCTCGCGTGAGGGTTCCTGCAGGCTTTGCTGGTGCTGGCCCTGTGCTCTCCCAGGTGGAAACCACCAGGCAGCAGTTTGTGTCTGCACAGCCTTGATGGTGCTCGAACAGGGCTGAGAACTGGGTGAAAATCCAGGCTCTGTCTCCTTGGCAGCACTGCGAGCGTGGTGTCCTGCCCGGGCAGCCCGGAGCGCTGCTGTCCAGCACGGTGGATCTCACAGATGGTCTCTGGGGCAGGGCCTGTCTCCTCGAGAGACGCCCTTGGGTCACCGCAGCATCTTCTGCTGGGGCTTTGTGTTGCCCAGGTGCTCCCAAGCCAAAGATTTCACTTCTGTAGAAAGCACCTAGGGCCAGCACCCTCAGCTGGGCTGCAGAGAGGCAGGTGTGGGGCCAGTCAGCCTCATAGTGTCTCTTCGGCCCGATGGCCTTGTCTGGCCAAGTGTCCTTGCTCGCTGAGGGCTGCAGCGGTGGCGAGGGAAGCTGCGGTCTCACCAAGCCAGCGTGTGTCGTCTGGGAAGAGCTTAGCTGAATGCTGTCCAGCCGAGCTGGCTCGGTCGTCTGCTGAACGAAACCTCATGCTGGTTTCTACCATTCTGAGCCACCAGCTTGATCGGTAAAAACAACACAGATCTGTTGGAGCCCTGGGCGAACGCGTCCGTGGGTGTGACTTGGTGGCACGCTTCTGCAGGCCGCGTGTGACCTGTGCCCGGGTTGGCTCAGAGCTTCCTGGGCGCTGGGAAGCTGCGCTGCCGGTCGCTCCCCGCTGCCGTTCCGCCTCGCCGCAGCGGGGCCCGCAGTGCTGGCTGCGGGGGTG